GCTCAATTGTGGATTATTTTATAAACCGATTTTTTATATAGGACGTAACTAGGTGATGTCATAAGTCTGCATCTATAGTTAGTTGACTGATAATTTTTTTATGTGTGTGTAAAATCAGTTGTGTAACATCAACGGTTCCTCCTGTTCGGTAATCATATAAAATATAACTGAACGGATTTTTCACGAACTGACTAACTGAATTTTATAAATTATAAATGAAATGATAAACTTGCTTCATTTTATCTTGATAATGCTCAAATAATTTCTCAATTTACGGAGTTACCATCCGAATTGGGAGAGCGTCAGATAGGCTTACACATCGATCTACATGTCCGGATCAAACATTGCCGGTAATTTCTTTATTTGGGTTAATTTATCCATTCAGGAACGTAGTAGAACGTAGTGTATACGCAGTGTTTAAAATTCAAAGTAAAAATTACGTGCACAAATGTATTTTGTGCATCTTTTTTTGGAAAATTTTATGTGCACACTTAATAAATTTTTTAAGAATTCATAAAAAACTCGTGCTCGTGTGCATCTTGTGCATGCCAATTTTAAACACTGCCTGTACGTAGTGTATGGTTCCACTCGAGTTTTGCGTTCGTACGCAAAATCTTGAATCTGATTGGTGCCCTGTTTTTTTTTATTATTATTATATTGAAAAAGTATGATCGACATTCTTATTGTATGACGTATTTTTTATTGGTTGAAATTATGCGCGCGTGGCTCAATTTTAATTAATCCGGTCTAATACCGTAAATTATAGTTATTGTATGGGTATGTGTGAATAACCCAGTTACACACGGGTTCATATTCCGTGCCGAAGGCACGGGATTTAAATATGAACCCGTGTGTGTAACTGGGTTATTCATATACCCATATAATAACTATCTTATTGCACGGTGTCTGACGTAACAATCCCGTGCAATAACCAAATGAAAAAAGCACGGGTTGTCACATAAGACCCGTACAATAATTGTTTATATTAAACTTGAAACCCGAAAATAATGATTAATATTGCGACAGATCGCTGTAAGCATTTAAGTTTGTGCTAGATGGTTATAATATGAAATTAGCAGGTTCCTTTGAGGTGAGGGTTAGGTTAGAATTGATATTGCTGGGGCTGATTTGTTTATTATTGTTGTAGGTTCACGCTTGGTCTTCTCCTGAAACCGGTTTACTGCGTTAACATCATTATATGCGGAAGTTTGTACTCACCTGCATGCAACCTTTGTTATCGGACTTTATGATGCCCGTGTAATCGTCGGTAACATTTTCCCCTGTTTAGCACATTTTCGATCCGTTGACTATAGTCAACTCGAAGTATGTGCATAAATACGCAAAATAAATAGTATACTTTAACAGATATTTATTTATTATATAATGGCATATATTTGTTACAAATATTTAATATTATGTTAATCATTTATGGTTATCGCTTATATACGAACTTTACAATGAGAACGTTTATATACGATAGTAAATGCGCTAATTATTACGTTTTTTCTTCATTTTACAGCTTTCTTTTCCTTTTTATCTTATTTGTTCTGACGCTCCGTTTTCTCTTTTTAGGTTGTTCTTCATCCTCTTCATGCTCATTTTCACCTGTCGACTTGTTATTTTCATCGGAAAACAGTACTTCTTCGTGATTAGTTTGAGGTTTGTCATTCTTCTCTGTTCCTGAATTCGGATAGTCTTTTATATCAGAAGTTGAATTGACTCCCGTATCGGTGTAAGTAAAGGTAGGAAAGATGTTAGATGATGATGTAGAGGCTGTGGTGCCATCACGATTAGTGAAGGATTGGTTATTGAATGTCTGTGCGGTACTGAATTCAATATCATCGGCGATGATATCAATGATTGTGCGGGATTTTGGTGAATTATCTGTTGAAGTTTCGGGTACATTGAGATTATATAGCGGGAGCTTTTAATAATCGATGTCTGAAGCTTCCATCATTATTTTACCAGAATCGGAAAATTTAACGAACCCTGAAATGAGATAAATGTTTCCTCGTTTGATGTTTGATCCTAACACGCTTAAATGTCTAAATCTTACAGATTGAGTAGAATATATAACAATTATCTCCATTTGATATTTGATGACCCGGTTACAGAATTATATTCTGTACATTCGACTCCAAAATGTATAAATTCTTCGGTTTTTTTTGGATCGTGATTAACACTTGCAGAAATCATGCAGTGGGGGACGCATACGGGAACACTAGTTATGCCAAATTCGTGTTCGGGTTTGCCAGTATCTATGATACTAGCATATGCAACACTCACGTACTCTTCATGATTTTCAAATATGTATTTACCCGAGACAAATACAATGTCTCCAGGGTTGAATAATTGAGGTAATGCATCAGAAGGAAAAAAATATTTCCATCTGATAGTATGCGATGTCTGTTGAGAAGTTTTATACTTATCGTATCCGTATGAGCATGATCTATTGCTCTTTACGGATATAATAACGATAAGAAGGGCAATATGCGATGGCATTTTTTACTCATAAATTTGTTGTGAATATGAAAAATTTTTTATACAGCTAATACCTGATTCTTATATAGAGAAACTACGTTTTTTTTTTTAAAAAAAAAACCCCGCAATTATACTTGATTTGATCTTTGAACAATATTATTATGCTATTTTCTAATATGATCATATGATTTGCTGTCCTTTAATGCTAATAATAATGTACTCTTCTGTACATTTAAGCAAATATATCAATGTTAATTCTATATTTCACATGCAATGTTCTTTACTATCTATTGTAATCAGAGCAAAATTCGTGTTCTTTACCTGTCTATAATCTACACATTCTTTTTAAATTTTTATCTTTTTTTTAACGTAAGAAGTTACAATTATCACGTTCGATTCATTTACGCAACAAGTAAAACAATTAAAACCTGTTAATTTTTCAGGAGTTTTTCTTTTTTCATGATAGTAACTTTTTTTTGATGCGCTATAAAGCTTAATCAGGTTAATAACAATTCCATACTAAATTTGGAAATTACCTGATTCTAATTAAAATATGGCTAGCGTTAGAGTCGATCTTATTGCACGTAATTCTAAATAAGTAACAAGATAAAGCGTCATGCTAATGCATTGAGTTATATGTATTAGATAAAGTAGAGATTATATATAGATAAGAAAGTAAAAGAGGTGTTAGAAAAATAAAAGAAAGATGGTATTGTGATTAAAAAGGAGTCTAAAATAATAGGATAAATATGTGATGCTTGTAAGTTATAGTTTAACACGGTAAAGATACTTTTGAAAAATAGAATTTATATGTAAGAGATAAAAAGGTTCAATTAAACAGGGATTAGGGAATAAATAAGGTAAGTAGTAGAAAAAAATTTAAGCGATGTAGATAAGAGATGTTGTGTATAACAAAAGCGTAAATAAATTAGGATAAAGTAGGAAATAAATTAGTGAGGGAGGATTTTAATAGGGGTATAAATAAGAAATGTAAAGTTAGAGAAAAACAGAAGTATTATTAATTTTATAAAAGGCACAATTTAAATAAATAGAATAATACTTATTGTTGTTATATCTATTATTGTTGAAGTTACAAGTAAATAAATACATAAGCGAATGAACGTAAGACTTGGTTATGGTCGGATATTTGGTGCATAAACATCGTATAGATTAATTTATTAACGATAGAATAAGAAAGGTGGAAATCAAAGAAGCAAGCATAAGTGTCGGTGTTTCTCAATACCCTATGTAATTATAGCGCAAGGGTTAGATAGTGGTACCCATGTGATTAATGATCGAGTACCTTGATCGAATATTGTGATCGGGTTTGCATGAATGGTGTGATCCCGATTTAATTAAAAGTCTAAAATAGTGATTGCATGAACAATGTAGTAATCATTAGCGATTGGTAATAATATATAAGGCATAGATCCAAATAAGGAAAATGCCTAGTTAGCTTTGTGCAGAACCTTTGATTCTTAGTGAATAAACTGTCTTCTGTGTGGATACGATATTTGGTGGTAGTATCTGGTACGATACTCCAGTCATCATCGTATAGTAGCCAAGCGAGTGAAGACCGATAGTAAAGCCAAGTAGTTCACGGAGTGTTGGTAAACCCCGTGACAATAAGAAAGAAAGAAATTAAGTATTTTTTCTTTAAAAGGGATGTATAGTTTAGCATGAATAATTAAGGTATACGGGAAAAATATAAAAAAAGTATACGGATTTAGTTGTTTAATTGGATTTTATTTATGCTTGTATTTATGTGGTTTATATAATTACGTAAGCAGATAGACGTATTTTAAGATTAATAAGGAAGTAATTTACGTGACTTGAATGATGTAATTTATTTATAGTAATATGCATAAAATAAGGAATGCGGGTATTTTTTTGAGTCTACCGAATTAGCAAGATGGTTGAATGTTCTTGGAAAGGTAATAAAAATGTGGGTAGTGATAAGCGATTGAATAGCGATAGAGATAAAAATGAAATAATAAGGGATAATTGAGGGTATGAGAATTCTAAGGAGTTATAAGTCGTGTAAACCTTTTTCATGTATAATAGCTAATCGTTTATATTCTTCTAAAGCTGCAATCGGACTTATTAGAAACGTAGGGTTAAAGGTTAATATATGGAGCGTTTTCCATGAAGTGGCACGGCTCATTGCAACGTATGCTTGACCTTCGGCAAATACGGATTCGTCTATGCTGGTAGTGAAGTGGGGTAAGGTTAAGCCCTGCACTTTATGAGTGGTTAGAGCAAATGCGTTTTTGAGAGGAAATTGTTGTCTTGAGGCGGTTTGGCCGTTAATATAGAAGTATGATGTTTCTTTTTTGAACCATTACTTTGCTTATACCTTCAGAAGTGAGAAAAGTAACTTCAACATTATGATTATCAATAAGTTTAGTTACGATTCCAATAGTGCCGTTGCAGATACCATCGTCAAAAAGTTTGTTGTTTAAGAACATTACTCTGGCTCCCTCCTGTAAATATAGATAGCTAGGTAAGTTAGTCATAGTTTTGAATTGAGAAATTGAGTGATCTGGTTGTAATGATTGAAAGTTTAACGAGTTATTAGATTCTGAAATTATAGGTTCACAGGAGGTTTGATTTAACGGTAGATAGTAACAAAGTAAGTGATTTATATTATTAGCGGCTTGATCTCAAAGAATTAGTAGGGGAAATAAGAGGGTTTATTTTAGATGCAATGATGGAGTATCCCATACTAGATAATTTTCCAATACGTATTTCTTGTAGGACATTATAGAAATCAAAGTCATGCCGTTGTCTTTGGGTTGTAGTGAGAAATAGTGGAAAAAATCAAAGCCATGCTGGAGAACAGAAAACAGGAAAAGGATGTTGTAAAGGGGCCAGGTAACCACGAGTCCTATATTTCTTATTATTTATTACATATATATCTATTTTTTTTTATATATTTCTTTCTTTTATTAAATATGTCATTAGTGTAGTTAGTACTACGTATATCCGGGAAATGTGGAAAAGATCAGCATAGCTAGATTTTCATAGAGGGATACAAATTGTATCTAGAGACAAATTGTATCTAGAGACAAATTGTCTCTAGAGACAATTTGCATCCATCTAAGCCCACATTAGTTTGTAGCCATTTTTGTATCGCATTTTCTCCAAATCTGTATAAACTAGAAAAATTAGAATAGGATAGTAAAAATTGTAAAGCACAGCCATGATGTACGCAGTAGAGGCCAAAAAGTATTTAAGACCTATCTTTTTGTCGTAATAAAATTTTTTATCTCATTTGAGTTCTTAACTTCGAAGCTCTTGTAGTAGAAGTGGGTTCTCTAATAAAAATCTTCTATTTGTCTCTAAAGACCTTATAAAATTCATTGTTGTGTTTTCTTGTTCCTGTGATATTTGCAAAAGTCACTATTTTTGTATTAGAAGATTAAAGAGAGAGAACTATCGAATTAGTAATTCAAACCCTATTTATACCCCAAATAAATTAAACTCTGATCGAATATTGTCATAAATACCACTATTCACTGATTATGTCTATCAATCGAAATTATCGAAGTCTTGTAATATGTGACCCCAAAATAAAGAATAGAACTGAAAGAAAAGATAAAATAGCATTATTAGTATTAGAAATAGATACCAGGATCCAAGTTACCCTTTTGTAAAGGTAAAAGGAGGTTCACTTGAATCTCAATGTTATCTACACAAGGCCCAAACTCCAAAGACTTGGACCAAGTCTTTTCACGCCTCAATCGTCACCTTCCACATTTGGAGCCATGGCTTTGGACCCTACTATTTTTTTTTTTGTTAGTTAGAAAGATTTTAGTTAGTTAGTTGATTATATAGTATTTTCCATTTTTACACTTGGTGGTGACTGTGAGATTGAACTTCTTACCACCCAAAACCTTTATCTTAAAAATATATATATATATATATACAAACACACAAACAAACCTCCTTTAAATACACCAAACATTGAATCAATTTTGATTAAAAAATGTCAGATATAAACAACTTTGAGAATAACTAAACTATCGATAGGGATAGAGCCATTGACCAGAAAAACTCACCAACATACCAACCAGCTAATCAGAACCAGAATCCGAACTAGGCACCAAACCTGGCACAGATCTTGCTTCAGGAAATAGCCCAAGCATTTAGACAAGTCACCCTGCATGATGTTTTACCAAATAGCTGCGAGAATAACTAGGTTCACATGAAGACCTTCAAGGGTGAAGAAGATGAAGACCCTGTTGAATAGGTGGAAGCTTTTGAAAGGGCCATGGATGTCAATAACTGGACATTGGCAAGAAAAATCAAAATTGCATCAGGGCACCTGTTAGAGATCGCTGCCAGCTGGCATAACAACAATAAGGATGATTTTCTCTTTTGGGACAATAAAGAGAACCCAGAGAAAAGCTTTGTTCAATCTTTTATTAAGTATTTTGCCACCCAGGAAAGAAAGCACAAATGGCAGATAGGATTGAGCAATCTCACCCAAAAAGAAAATGAAAATGTTGACACTACGCCTACAAATTCAAAAAATTATTAAAGAAAGTCAATCTGGATCGCCAGATACTAGCACCCTATGTTGTTGGTATGTTCTTAGGAGGCCTTCATAGAACAACCGTGGCATTAATGTCACTAAAAGACCCTGAACATTAGATGACACTATCATGGCAGCCCGAAGGGTTGAAGCAGGCAATTATTACAAAAATAGAAAAGAGGAAGAACCTACCAATAAACTCATCAATGAACTAGCCCAAAAGAAACAACAAATAGCCATTAATAATGAAAAGTTGACCACCACCCTCGCTGCCAGAGCCAAAATTCAAGCAACCCCACCCTGATGCAGACAAAACCCACCTCGGCAAACACAAAGTGGAGGCATCATCTGTTATAATTGTAGTGAGAGAGGCCACATTGCTAGGAATTGCCTCTCTGAACAACAACAAATCTCCAGAGTGCCACCTACGACAAACGAAAATAATGCTAATACCTGAAATATTAATATGTGTAATGTTTACCAACCTGGGCCCAGCCAAAAAATTTATGCTCTCAAACGCTGACCGGAAACTGAGCCTAATTGAAATGGGTGATTAAGAAAAAGGGTCACTCCCAACCCAACCCACATAACCCAACCTCTGCAGCCAAGTCAACCTACCTAATGGAAGTAATTCAACAAGAAACAGTCCAAACACAACCCCAACTGGGCAATGATAGTTGCCCAAGACATCAACAGGGACTCTCCATAGTAGATTTAACACCACTCTACAATATCACAGAAGACCTCCTAAGCCAACGCACAAATGCAACTTATGTGCAGTTGCTTCAAGTACCAAAACAAAGACAGAACTTATCTCAGGCTTTATGACAGCCACTTATAGTTATGCTAAAAGAGACTAACCTCGTAAAACCCCACTTAACACTAAAACAACTACTGCAAAGTGCTACATTAGAATTAAGAATAATCTGATATTAGTGGTGCTAGATTCTGGAGCTGCTGTTAGCATTATCTTAAAAAAACTAGCAAGAAAACTTAGTTTAAAAAACACTGAGCCTTCCAACACCATAGTAGTTATAGCCAATGAAACCTGAGAGCGAGCTCTAAGAAAGATACCCAACGTAAGAATGGCAATTGGAAATGTGATGGTGCTCACCACCTTTTAGGTAATTGAGAACCCCAAAGAAGTGATGCTGTTAGGGATACACTGGTTCTAAAAAGTCTGTGCCTGGCTCTATTTCGACGAAGACAAACTATTTTTGCATTATCTGGAAAAAAAGCATTGAAGTGCCTATTTACCAAGCAAAAGAAAACCAATTAGTAATTCCTCAAGAAACAGGTAATAATGATGATGAAGACAACTACTTTAATAACTTCAAGGAAGAAGAAACTGAAGAAGTCAAAAGCTACATTATAGATGAAGCAGAAGATGAAGTAAGGTATAAACAACCCTGGGAAGATACAGAAAAACCTGCCATATACTTAACCGCCATTGAGGAGTTACCAACCCCAAAAAAACAAAACACCTGAATTGCCATCTGAAGAAGTGGTTAAAAAATTAGTACAAACAGATACCCTAACAAAGGAACAAAAAAAAGAATCCAAACTTATCCTAGAAAAATATAAGGAATTATTCTTCACAGGATTGGGTAAGTTGAGATACGTCACCATAGTCTAATATGAAATCGATACAGGAGATGCAAGGCCAATTAAGCAATCAGTATATCAAATTGCTCCTGATGAACAAGACTTTTTGAATAAGGAAATTAAAAAGTTACTAGACAATAAACTTATCTATGAATTAAAAAGCTCCTGGACATTTCCAGTTGTGATAGTCTCTAAGAAGAATGGAAAACTTAGGCTATGTGTAGACTATCGTAAGTTAAATGCTATAACAAAAAAGGATGCCTATTCTCTACTCCGAATTGATGACTTACTTAAAACCTTTGATATAGCCAAGTGGTTTTCAAGCCTTGATCTAGCTAGTGGTTATTGCAAATAGGCATAAAGCCTGAAAACCAAGAGAAAATGGCCTTTGTTACTAAGCAAGCAGTTTATGCCTTCAAAGTAATACCGTTTGGGCTATGCAACACCCCACAACCTTCCAATGGACTATGAATGAAATTTCAGAAGAATTTTTGGGAAAATTCACTACTATTTACTTAGACAACATTATAATCTATTCCAAAACCTACCAGGAACATATAGAGTACTTGCAAAAAGTGTTCGCCAAGATTAAGGCTGCGAAAATGAGACTCAATTCAGAAAAATATAACCTATTTAAACATAATATTCAATTTTTAGACCATATAGTAGAAAAAGATAGAATGAAGCCAGACCCAGCCAAGGTAGAGAAAGTCAAAGAATTCTCCATACCAATCAACTTAAAGCAACTCAGAGGATTCATCAGCCTAGCCTCGTATTATAGATATTTCATTTGACAGTTCGCCACCATAGCCAAACTCTGCATACGTTGTTAGAAAAAGGTATAAAATATGAATGGAGGGACAAACAGGAAAATGGCTTCCAAATGCTAAAAACTTATCTAACAACTGCCCTGGTTTTAAGATACCCAGACTTCTTCAAGACCTTCTATCTTTATACTGACACTTTGGGAGTTAGCTAGATGCTGTATTAGCCCAAAAAGGAGAAGACAAAAGGGAATATGTTATAGCCTATACTAGTAAAAGTTTTACTAGGATCGAGAGAAACTATGCGGCCACTGAACTAGAATGCTACACTATAATTTGGGGTGTAGAACACTTCTATCCCTATTTGGGCTACCAACTTTTTATTATTATAACTGATCATGCTACGCTTAAGTGGCTACAAACTACAGAACCGAAGGATCAAAGAGCCTGATAGATTTTACACTTACAGCCTTATAATTATACAATAATCCATTGAGCAGGATGCAAACACAATAACACCAATGCGTTATCTAAAATAATTGAAAAAAAACCCTTCAACGAAGAAAATAAAGAAACAAGCTGTCATCAAAAAGTAGCAAAAATAGAGAATATTGACAGAAAAAATGAAATTAGTTTAAAACTTCCCAAACCCAAACGCACGAATCAACTGAAGAAGTAGAAGTCTTTAGGATCATAGTAGAAAACTATTTTTCTAAAGACTCAGATAAGGAGGTTGATATAATAACTGGAGAAGAATACATAGAATGAGATGAAGAGAATAATGATATGATAAGCAATATTGAATATACAAGCCAAGAGGAGGAATAGGAAGAAGAACTTACCCAAAGTCAATAATGCAAAAGAAACTATCAGAACCTTCCATGTGAGTTGGCCGTAGAGGCAGAAAAAGTAATAACCTAGTCAACTATTAACGGAGAATGGGGCTGGTACATAAATAATAATAACTCTGAAATAGAGCTCCAACCTATGAATATGAATGAAATCTACCTAATCGATATACCCCAATGGGAGGAATCAGTTGCTAGGTTAGAATTCGAAGCTGACAATAATGATGAATGGAAAAATGCAGAGTATAATTATTATACCTACTCAAGCCACAATTAATCCTGGTGGAACAACAATAAATATGAAATCACTGTTGACAAAAGTCCTGACCCAGAAGACTGGAAACAAACGCAAATACTCAATACTTACATCGCCTAGGAATATTATGATTCCTTATGAAAAGTAAAATTTGAAGAGATCAATCAATTAGTACAAATATTAAATAGTTAAAAAAAAAAAACATATATACTCCTTTAAAAGAAACTTTAAAATAGATAGATTAGATATATATATACCAAATACTATCAGGTGAATTCACAAACCTGAATGTCCATGAAATTATGTAACTAATAAACTTTTTTTTTTATTATTTTTTTTATATTCTCTTTTTTTTTCTCTTTTATGTTCAGACTTGACATTAGAGTGCGGTTGGTCAGGATGAAGTCCACTCCTTGCCCATTTATGAAGGGCAAGATTTTGCCACGAAGGCCATTGCCATGCATGAACAAATCCTAGATGAAGAAGAAAGGGTAGAAAGCTTAGTCCATACTTTCTATCTGGGTGCGCTGCTCAGAAAAGCAACCTGAAAACAACTTACTGAACTATGATCAAAAATACCTAATCACTACGTCAATGCTTCTCTACAATTGCATCAGCTTTTCGAACCCCGGGTGTAGCATAAAAGTATATGGTTCAAAAATAATATTAACAGGAGACTCAATAGGATTTTTAATAGATTGTTGTGACACTTCAGCAAAAGAAAAAAGGCAGAAAGTTTAAACATTGTAACTTGATATTTTTTTTAATTGCAAAGTATAAGAAGGTAAAACTTACACAACAATGGAGGAAGATCAAGAATTTAAATAAGAAATTCTACCACTTAGATAAGCATAATAATTAATGAGCAAATCAAGAGTTTATATACAATGATTATTTAAACACTAATTATTGTAAGCATCAAATAATAGATTAAGTTAAATGATCATGATAAAATGTTAATAACTCGTTATTATAATTAAAATAAAAAGGTATATAGGTGATAATGTAGATGTATTTATTAACAGACAGATATGAAAAATTTTTCTCGCAATAGGACATAAATACAGTTAGTAGAATTAGGAATCTAATGGCAAATTTAAAAGCAATCTATTGATTTTAGTTAGTATAGTATAGTATAACGCGAATATGAGGAAGTTTGTAAGGAATAATAATAGTAAGGTAATTGTTGTGTCAACTAATGTATAATGATACCTATTTTAATACTTTATTAAAAACTTAAAAGAAAAAAGTAGCTAGTATATTATTGTTATTACTGAGTATAATAAGCATATACAAAGGAATATGTAAGTGATATATTATTTTAGTTTTTTTATATGGAGTTCAATTTCTGGAAAAATATATAAGATTACTAACACTGGTGGGCATTATTATGAAAAACAGATTCTTAAAGATAATTTATATGGATTTGAATTAGCTTTCATGAGCATCACAAATTGATGTGCATCCTATTGTAGCACATAATTTACTGGTGCGATAAAAAGTAGATATTTTATATACGTTGTGATGGGGTGACCAATAAACTTAAACCTAAAACTAATCTAACAAACTATCTGATACACCAGATAGTGTATATTTGGAAACCTCAAGACTCTAAAACCTTGAGTGGAAGGCTTCGAATAGAGGCGTGGAAAGACTTGGTCCGAGTATCAAGGTCTTTCGGGTCTTGAAATAATGTTACTGAGCTCAGCTAAGTTTTCTATATCCTTTTTCTATACTGTTGCTTTTGTTGGTTCGATAACTCTAACTCTTAATACCTTTATTTTTTTAATTCAGAATGTTTCGCTTTCTTTCGGGGTCACGTGTTACGTCACTTGGATAACTGCGGCGATCGGAAGTTTAATATTCAACTCTAGATCGTTAAGTCGCTTGACGATGATCTTGATGGCATCACGAGTAAGAGATATCGGGAAGCAGATCTTCAATTTATGACTGATGTCACGAGCTTCTGATGTCACGGGTAATTATGCTGATCGAAACGATTAATATATAATAATGCAAGATCACTAATTTGATTGTTGTACTAATTAGTGATAACAATGCGTCACGAGAAGGATCAGTATTTAAATAAGGTCAGGTATTTCGAATAAGGTCTCTTTTTTTATTTGTCTTATAAGTGATAACTACTGGTTATAGGACTATCGGGTACTCAAGAATTGGGTTTATTGGGAACGATTTTATTAAGGAACAACTTCTACTATGAGGATTTCGAAGTTAAGAGTTGTAAAACTCCGTAGAGTTATTTTATTAGGGTGAGCGAAGGGCTCTTTATATATTTAAAATTTACGGGCTAAGAAAAGATAAAATAAAATCCTTTTTATCTATTCTATCTAATTAATCTTTTTTATCGTTTTTATCTAATTTGTCTTTTTTGTCTTTTTCATCCACGGCCCACCTTTTACTAACTCTAAATGGCAATTTTTATCGAAAATAGAAATAATGAAATAAAAAAAATAAAAATAGAAATAGCACAGCCCAATCTAGGGCAGTGCTGCGCCGAGTTTGCCCATCACAACGTACACTCTACAAGCGTATTTACATTGATTGATATAAAGTAACTATTTAATATTATTTGTAGATTATTCTTTAGAATGAACATTATATAAATTTACCTTTACTAACCACGATTTACATTAGCCCTATAATTTGCATTAGTCATGTGACCTAACATAGTGCGAATTTATCGAAAAAATAACGTATACATATTCAGGTAAAGTAATAGCTTTTTGTATACAACAAAAAATCTATACATAAAATATATTATTTCGCATAAATTTTGAATTTTTAATTGGCTAAACATAGTTGTGACGCGAATTAAGTTGTGGATCGTGTATAATAATTAATAATACACTCTATAGAACTTTGCACAAGCTAGACATGTTGTTTATAATGATTGATTGTAAAAGCAAATGTCTTGAAAGTACTTTGCCAAAGCTAGTATTTTCTGAATAGGATGACTTATATAAAAATTAAATATTTAACAAGCATTCGAGATTAAAAAAAATTTTATCGCGCATTTACGATTTTTCATTAACTCATATAATTATGAAGGAAAAAAAAGAAAAAAATAAAAGTCTGTGCACTACATCTAATAATGATTTAAAATTATCTTACCCTATTGATAAACAATACAACACAGTTGATAGAATCCCTGGACGTAAAACATCTCAAAACGGAAGTAGGATTGAAAAACCTTACCAGAAGAACTTGAATAAATTTAAGGCTACGAATCTGTTAATGACAGACAACAAAAACAACAAAGAGACTTAGTAGCTCAATATTTGGTCAAAGAAACTAATTTACCACTGTGTACAAATAAATTTCTAACTGCTGACTCTTCTAAACTACTTGATCAACAATCAGAAGATTACTGCAGTAATTTCCAAGT